GGGTACTAGCTACAGAGACAACCCTCTCAGATTCAAATCCAACCTCTGCCACTTACCACCTAGGGGATCTTTGAACCAATTGCTCAATCCCTCTGAGCCTCAATTTCCTCACCTATGAAATTATCCTTATTATGTCTACCTCAGAAGCTACTAGGAAGGCTAAATGAGATCTTGCTGGTCAACTCCCCAAAGAAGTGTTTAATAAATGTTAATTCTCTACTGCTAACTCCCCCAAAGGAGCAGTAAAATATGTTCATTTACTAACTTTGGAAGGAAAGTGTTTTACCTCACAGTCCCAAATTAAAGGAACAGGAAGTGCTTTAATCAGAAACCACATATGTTAGCTTTAATGAGTGGTTTCACCAAAACCAGAGGGGGCATGGTGCTCTCTGGGAGCCTGTTAAAGATTACATAACTCTGAAACTGCCAGTCAGCAGAGAGCTGAATTCCCCCCTCAGAGGTATTCATGTGTTCTCCTCTCATAGAAAATAGTGGAAATTCAAACTAGTTGAAAGCATACTAAACCACCAAAATATCTTAGTTCACAAGAAATCACATACAATGCCTAAGGAAAATACACAGTAACTGAGGCAACTTCAAAAATTGATTTAAGAGATCCAAGAATCTTAGAAATTTTAGAAAACATCCCACTGCCCATTTTTACTACATCAGCCAAGGTCAAGGTAACATTTATACCACACTTGGTTAGAATTATCTCCCTTTCTCACCCTCAGGCGTTCATCATCAGGCCAAGTTCAGCCTCCTGATCTTCCTGTTAACCTGCGGGGGAGAAATCAAGAAGCCACCAGATCAGTCAGCTATAAGCCAAAGGGAAATGATTTTCTCAGGAACAATTCACTCCCTCATTAGCAGGCTCTTTAACTTCTGAGAGGGTTTCTTTGGTTTTCTGAGAGCAGGACTTCTTCCAGCCAAAGTAAAAGGAGAAAGGTTTGCATCCTTTCCTCAGTAAGGAAAAGTCTGCATCTGGGCAACTAAATTATGCTGACCATAGTCACCACCTCCATGCTGAAAAGGATGCTGCCTAACATTTAATGTTATATGTGCTGTGCACTGATTTCTTGTGCTATTCATCCCAGACTGACACTTCTGTGACCCCAGGGCTCTTCACCTGTACCCTGCCCAACTGTGTCTTCAACGTAAGCAAAATGGAGATCATACACTGTATCCTGAAGCCAAATAAAGAGACTTCAGAATTCTCTTCATGTTTAGATGATCTGTTTGGTTGATCCACTCCTCTATCAGAGATTATTGAGGGTAGTGAATAAGCCTTGCAAATGTTTCTCTTTTACTGTCTAAACAACCTACTATCTAAGGCAAAAAAATTTTCACCTGCCCAGATAAAATATTTCTTTAGATGGCAGATTTAAAGTGGGGGAATTTATAAGCACCAAGTGCTTAAAATGTACATAATAAATGTCATCCTCTTTGGGACACACCCACCTCTTGACAGCCAGTTTACAAATCCACTAATCCCTGTGGAATCTCTAATCCACCCTACCTAGAAATGTATTTTTATTCACACAGAATTCCTTCAAATACTTTATACAGATTGTCATAAATCTGGGGGTCCAGCCACGTCATCAAATTTCAGAGGTTCCCTCATTCATAAAATTGTCTTGTAATACTTGTCTTTAATTTTACAGGGGTAACATAAGAATTAATGAGGGCATTAAATGAGTGAGAAAGTATACCTCTAAATCCACTCAAACCCAGGAGATTTCTGCCTTGGAGTATCATAGTTCTACATCACAGACTAAAGATAAATTGTTATATCAGATTTATGGTACTTCCATCAGGCATCCTATCCACCTCCCTCCATCAACATCTTAGTCCTTCCTGATCTTTCAAGGCAAACAGATGCGATTCATGGCTATTACCAAGCTATAGAAATATCCCAGTTTATTTCCCAAAAAAACTGCCCCTCAATATTTTGCCCCCAAACAAGTATGATCACCCAAATATCAGAAAGTGATTTCAAAAGAAAGAATCTGAATATGGGGGGAGAAGCTTAGCATTTAATATACTTTTTCATACTAAATATCAAATAATAAAAATATACCTTTGTGTTTGAAGAGCCAAGTCATAGAAATACGTAAAGGCAAATCAATTGTTTCCAGCTGTAATCAGCGATAATAAACCCAAGTACGTGAGAGCATGAGAAAGATGATCAGTTTCCTTTTGAGGTTACATGATAAGCAGCAGCAGTTAAGCAGCCTTTTTCTCTAAAACTCGGCGTCTGACCTCGTGGCAAGAAGAGGGCAGCCCCTCTCCCCCGTCCCCTTTTATAGCGTCCGCTTTCTGTTCAGCTCACTAGAGAGCATGGGGGCGGGGGAAGCTAAGGACCTATTTTCTAAAATACAGAATACAATCAAACGGCCGCTCGAAAGGGATTGCGTGGGCACGGAGGAGGGGCAGAGGAGGCGGAGAGGGGGCAACCAGGACTAGGTTTGTGGATTTTTTTCTGCATACTGGAAATTCCCAAGCCAAAAAGGTACCAACCCGAGTCCCGGACATTCCCCTCGAGGGCCGGCTCCAAGACCTGGACTGGAATCCCGCAGAGGAATCAGAAGCAAATCTAAAAACAAAACATTTTTCTTAGGGATGCATTTTTTTAAAATCTCAATAAATCCACACCGGGCGTTAGTGTTGCTCCCTCATTTGATTCACCTTCTTTTTTTTTTGTTTGTTTTTTTTTAAGACTTTACTATTTGACAGAGAGAGAGAGAGATAGGGAGAGAGAGTACAAGCAGAGGGAGTGGGAGAGGGAGAAGCAGGCTTCCCACCGAGCAGGGAGCCCCATGCGGGGCTCCATCCCAGGACCCCGGGACCATGACCTGAGCCGAAGGCAGAAGCTTAACGCCTGAGCCACCCAGGTGCCCCTTGCCTTCTCTTTTATTTAGCTTTTCTTCTGTAGGTCTTCAAAAAGGGGGAGGGGAGTTGATACTTTCTACAACACAGATTTTCAAACTATGGCAACCAAAAAGTAGTATCGCTATCATGTGCCTTCAATGACAAAGACATAAATAAAGCAGTGGTTCTATAATAAGATCACGTTATTTTCACGCAGGCAGGGGCAGGGGAGAGTGGAGTGAATTTAAACAGAGAATGTGAACTATTGCATAACACTGAAAGGATTTTGCCTATGACATTTGGTTTCACTGTGACTCCTTTTCCTTTTGGGACACTTAAACTGTAATCCCTGTACTGCTTCCCAACCCCCCACCCTCCGCAGTGTTAAAATCCAGCTTTCTAATTAGACCGAAAATGTCTGATTCTCCAGTAGGAATGGGCATCTAGAGCTAAACAACAGAAGGTCCTTAAAACTTTAACAGAAGATCCTTCTTCCGGGCTTCCTCTCATTTAATGGAGAATATTATTAAAGCAAAATATGAGGGGCGCCTGGGTGGCTCAGGTCCTGATCTTAGTACTGTGAGAGATCCAGCCGTGTGTGGAGTCCGCTTGAAAGATTCTCTCTCCCCCTCTCCCTCCCTCTCTGCCCCTCCCTCCACTGGTTCTCTCTCTCTCAAATGGGGGAGGGGGGTGCAGGTGTTAATTTCCCTGTACTTCTCTCAGTAATTGCTTTTTCCTTTAATAGGGCCCAGAAACAGAGTCATCTCTGGCATGTAATATGGATATGTAAAGGCTTACCAAATATTCTTGTTACACCCCAATGTATCAATCTGAAACTTAATACCTGAAGCCAGGAAATGTCAGTCAATGGTATTTAATAAAATGATGGTTGTTCAGGGAGCCACCCAGGGCTGTCTTGGGTGGCTTAGTCGGTTAAGCGTCTGCCTTCAGCTCAGGTCATGATCCCACGGGTTCTGGAATCAAAGTCTTGCATCGGGGCTCCTTGCTCAGCGGGGAGTCTGCTTCTCCTTCTGCCCCTCCTTCCACTTGTTCTAATAGTAAATAAATAAAATCTTAAAAAAAAAAAAAAAAGCATCACTCCAAAGCCCTGGAGAGGCAGTGGAAACTGAAATTCTCCTGAGAAGATGAAGCTCAGCCTCCTCCAGCAATCTTTGAGAAAATGCTTAAAAAGTTCTTTTGTGAAAAAGAGAATCTCTCTTTATAAAAGTCCAACAAGGGCTATGTACTCTCGCATACCTTAGTTCAAATCCAAACTCGAGTTCCTCATCTATAAAAAGGTACCTAATATTACCTACACTACTAGATCATGATCACAATTAAATGTTAGGGATTAAGCCCCTGAAATAATAGACAAGCAATATTATTTCCTTAGTTCTATCTTCCTTCTTCCCTTAGTTGGTATTTCTCAAGGTGTAGAATATTACCATTGCGTCAGAATCACTGGACACTTGTAACAAAGGTTGATTCCACAATTCCCAGAAGCATGACCCCTAAGTTTGTATTTTTCTCAAGTATTCCAGGTGATTCTCAGATACTCTAAAGCTTAAAGACCATTAAAATTAAACTATCTTAATATTTTTATCTACTTGTTGGTCCTCTTTAGACTCAGAAAACAATTTAAAATCTTCTTTCCCCATATGTATTTTTTATAAATTTGAAGGTGGCCCTCAAGGCTAAGAAAGGAAGATCTTACACTCTCTGTTCTAAGTTAAAACTCCAGATTTTTTCACGCTTTAAACATCTGTCTTCATCTCTAAAGTTTCCTCAGTCTCTTCATGTGTCCATTTAGGGATAACTAAAACTAGATTGTAATCTATTGTGGCTCGGAAAAGAGTACTTACACTTACTAAATGGCCCCAAGTTAACCTAAACTCATTTAAAATTAATAAGGTAAAGACAGTCAAGTAAAATCGATAATTCAATTATTTTAAGATAGCGAGTAGGAATGGCAGCTTTTTACTTCCAAGCATGAGAGAATATGTATACCTTACATTCAAATCAATAAATACCTGTTCTAGATCTCAATATCGAACTTTCGATAAGATTTTAATTTCTAATGTTGGTATGCGATTCAAAATAACAACCAAAAAAGAAACACTTGAACTTGATGGAAGTAACTTCTACAACTTTATAATAAACAACAGCATTCTTTACACAAAATTCAGTTCTTAAAACCCTCAAACTTCAAAACACAAAAATAAATTTCCATTTATAGATTCCCCCTTCCAGTTCCAAAAGTGATGAAAGTATTCATCATGTAAAATTTAGCTGAAATAAGTAACAATCCCCCAGTGCAAGTATCAATTCAACACACAGATTTTGTGTACTGCTTTCATATTTTCCTTTTGCTTCTTTTCTAGATAAAAGCGGGATATTGTAAATATTCTCACTAGAAAGTTCTGACCAAGGATACTGGCCTTTTCAAGCAATCCAGAAAAGGTGGATCATTGAAAGAAACTCCTGAGACACAGCAGTCCCCAGTGTATTACAGGAGCCACTGACCAGAAGCCTTATCAGTTCATCCCACTGAAGATGGACCAACAGTGTTATCCATACAGATAAGCTCAATCTCCTTTACCAGATAAACTACAAACACTCCACTACCAACCACTTAGGTCAGAACACTTTTCACAGTTTTTAGCATAGTAATCTCCCCTCTCAGGAGAGGCTAATTCAAACACACTCACTAGCATCTTTGGTTACAAGGGCAATACAGTGCGTAGATGTTGTTAATAAATGGTTCTCCCATGGCTATGTAAAGATTGGAAAAAATCCTGTAGGTAGACATAAATGCAACCTGCATTTTCTAAGCTCCTTATAAGTCTTATATAAAGTCCAGTTCCTTTTGAAATTGTGTACATGTCAATAGCACCCATCTCTCCATGGGGCCAGCCATAAACTTCCTGTACTGCAGGTAACATGATTCCTCCAGTCCCCTCCAGGGCAGGCTAGGTCTCCAAGGGGCACACAAAGGACAAGAACATGTCCAGTTGGTTCTTCACAATAACTTCATCTGGATGTAGCTTGTGGGGTAAATAATGAGCCAGGGTCATCTCCCAGGCATCAACGAGATACACTCCAACCCCTGAGAACATCTTCCGAAGGATGGTGTCCAGCTGAAAGTTGTACCAGTCACTGTTGAAAAGGCTCACCTCAGGCCCCAGCTCTTGGGCATTGGCTGTTCGGATGACTACCACGGTCTTAGGACTTCGATCCAGGAGCTGGACCACTGCTCGACGGATATTCCTGAGCCGCCGGATGTACACTTCCAAGGGGAAGGTGCTAAAATGAGACCATACAGCTATGGCAACCACGGTGTTCTTCCCGCCCACGATGCCATTCAGCTCATTTGCCACATAATGGAGCTCATTGCTAAAGACAGTTGTAAAACGGATGGGTGGACCATGGCAGCGATATTTGAGCAGGATGTTGTGCTTCTGGTCCACCGCAAGGAAAGGACCCACATTCTTGGGACTACCCAAGTTAAACTCCACTAAATCTGAAACAAGGAAAACTCAAATTCATAAAAATGTTCAAACCAAGCACATATATTATGATGATTCTATACTTAGCAGCTTAAAAGAACATTTTTTCAAATAAAAGTATAACAAAAAGGTACAAGTGTAAAGGGAATATCTATTTCACTGGCCTCAACAGACCTGTATTCTAACATATTTATTAAACTACCAGTGATACCTATGTCTATATACCCCAGAAGCAAAATAACTGTTTACCACTAACCATTAGGCCAAGAAATCTTCCTGTTTGCACCAACTGCTGAATATCTAAAAATCAACTTGGCATTTACACATTATTCTTCTAATAGACAAACATTATTTCTTCTAGGAGAAGAGCTATAACTTCTGCCTTTTTAAGAATGCATAAACGTAACCAAATACTTCTTTTTGCAATACATGAAAGAAAGGAGCAGCCCTGTTTCTTCTGATTTTCGATTTCACCCTATGGATGGAAAATCATATTAGTGTCTTAGAGAATGTCTATCTCCGTCACAAGAATAACAAAGACTAAGTGGTGTTTCAAAGTCTAGCTCCTCTGAGATCTTCTGACGGTCCCAGGAATCAGTGATTATTTCTCTTTTGTTACCCCTAAAAAACTCTGTCTCTACAATTCATCACTTAACATATGCCCCATAAGGAAAGAGGGCCTGTCTCATATACTTAAATGTTCCTACAAGTGCCTTTCAGAGAACAGACCAAGTAACTTCTGGCAACCCAAGTCAATTAGCACTTCTAAGCACCTATTCAGTGCCATGAGCCAGTAATGCTCAGATGGATAAGTCACAGTCCTGGCTCTCAAGAGGTATACTGTCAATTCTGAAGAAATAACATCATACTATAATTGGCCTACATTCTTCTTAAGGGTTAAAGGTGTCACTTTTCTCTCCAAGCAGTCCCAGGCTCCTCTTCTAGAATTTCCTACCTAATTCATTACTACTTAGCATTTGGCCCCACTTAAGCTGAATAAACTCAAGCTATCATTTTTTCTTTTGATTAAGATCAAGCACTGACACAAGGCTTTATCAGGTGAAAATCTGTCTGCAAAGGATATGGTGGAAAACAATCAAGACACCCAATGTGATCACTGCTATGAAAGGAAATAATGAGCTACGTCATTAGAACTTAAGAAACAAACAACTAAAGACTCTTGGAGGGCCCTGCGTAGTTAGCATCAAAACATGTTTAGCATTATGCCATACAAATTATATCCCTTTTTCTAGTTTTTAATGTATGCTTTATCGACTAAACTCGGCTATGCCTGTTTCAAAAAAACAAGCAAAACAAAAACTGGAATTAACTTTCTACTTTTGGGGATCATATCTACTTCTTCCTTTCCTTCTAAAAATTAAATCTGAAATTAAGTTGATGTAAAAAATAAAAGAGAAAAAAAAATACCAACAACAGCTCACCACAAACTATGGGACTGTGCTTTATGGAAAACCCTCCCCATACACAGCCCTCAAAAATAGTTCCCACAGAATTACTTATCAGCTCTCTAAATTGTAAGCAGGGTCTTTAGTACTGTTACCTGGGATTCATCCCTCCTCATCCGGCCCACATACCTCCCATGAAGAAGAAAAGGCCCTTGAATAAGGGATGGCCCTCCAGTGAGTGGGGCTTTATTCTGAGTCTGGATAGCACCCCCAGAGCCCAGCAGTGAAATCAGGAAGCTAAGAATGCTGGGGCTTACCAAGACTCCCTCAGTAGGAGCCAGCTCATCTCAAAATCATACCAATGGAATGCCCAACGGATGACACTGGGAAGGCTTTGCTGAATGGATGCATTAAAGTGGACCACAGTCCGTTTGGCTGCTTCCTTCCAGTTAAATCTATTATAAACTTGGAGTCTGACCAAACAGAATTAGGAGAGAAACAACTGGAAATGTCCCCCTCTCTTTTAGAGCCCAGAATATCAGAAGTAAAGGACTGCTGTAAGGTGATACCATCCAGCTGCCTCATTGCACACATGGAGAAATGAAGGCCTGGTAACTATGACACATCCAAGATCGCACAGCTAATCCGTGGTACAAAACTTGAACAAGAACACAGTGCTTCCATCAATACATCAACCCCACCATGGATCAGAAACCATCACACAGCTCTCCAGGGTTAGGATACCTCTTCAGTCCCACAGAGAAATAACTACTTCCTTGGCCGATGCCTTTCTTCAGGCACTGGAGTAAAGAAAGCTGGTTTTGTCCATGTGGAAAAGAGTTATAAAATAAAATACAAAGTACTAACCTGGAACAAACGTAGTAAGGTATTCAAACCACTGCCTGATTGTTGAGTCACCAAATAAATACACCACTTTTCTTTGTAAGCATTCTGTGATATTGTCGGGGTCATTAAACTGGCGCATCTTAAACTTTCTGGGCCTCCACTGGTCTTTGTAATAATATCCAGAAGGAAAAGTTCCTGAGCCTTGAGATAGTTCTAGATTGTTCATTTCTGAAAAGAAAAAGGAAAAAATAAGATATTCTGAAAGTCTCCTCCAACAAACCATACATGGAAAATGCTCCAAGAAACAAAATTAAGCCCCTTTATTTGTTAGCCTGCTGGTATATGGGTAACATTTCCTGCCATCACATCTCAGAGAAATCCCAGACTTTCCCCTTGCTACAAAAGGTTCTCCTTTGCACAAAAATAGGAAGATCCGAAACGTGTGTGATGGTATTGGTGGACAGAAAGGGAAAAGGGGACTTTGAGCACTCCCCTCTGATTATGCATGTTTTTATCAAAGCCAAAAATAAAAGCAGGCAAATAACCATGGAAAGGTATAGATATAAGCATTGTCCAGTATTATCCCAGAATAAATTTCTCATACAAAGGCCTATGAGGTAGGTAACACCTTAAATTCATATTTTACATATGTATAGTAAAATCAGTCCACTGTTGCTCAGCCTATTATTGTTATTTTTTAAGATTTTATTTATTTGACAGAGACACAGCAGAGAGGGAACACAAGCAGAGGGAGTGGGAGAGGGAGAAGCAGGCTTCCCGCAGAGCAGGGAGCCTGATGTGGGGCTAGATCCCAGGACCCTGGGATCGTGACCTGAGCCAAAGGCAGACACTTAACAACTGAGCCACCCAGGCGCCCCTGCTCAGCCTATTAAAAGGAAAGTTTTAACCTATGGGTCCTATAATCAAATATGAATTTAGAAAACCACCACTTAATACAAATATACACACTCTGAAGAACTATTCCCCACAACACAGAAGGCTCAGAAGGCCTTCTTGCACAATGAACAGTATTTAAAATGCAGCAGGGGCGCCTCGGTGCAGCGTCTGCCTTCAGCTCAGGTCATGATCCCAGGGTCCTCAGGGTCCTGGGATCGAGCTGTGCATTGGGCTCCCTGCTCGGCAGGAAGCCTGCTTCTCCCTCTGCCTGCCACTCCTCCTACTTGTGCTCTCTCTCTCTGACAAATAAATAAAATCTTTAAAAAATAAATAAAATTAAATAAATAAAATTAAAATAAAATAAAATAAACGCAGCAGCAGTGTGTACTCATGGTTGTAGCCTAGCTACATGTGATGACACAAGCACCAGAGCACATTTCAGAGGGAGAGTCAACATCCTTCTGCCCTAACACCTCCCTTGGAAAATGCTTCTGTAGAAACAACACATTTTACAGCTTCAAAATAAACAGACAGGGATGGCAAATATTTCTTGTGAGTTTACTCTGCAATTAAACGTATTATCTCATATGATGCTCACGATAACCCTTTAAGGTAGGTCCTATTGTTACCTCTACCTTTCAGAACAGTTCAGCAACTTGACCTAGACCCAGAGGTAGTAAGTGGCAAAGCCAGGACCTGATCCAGGCGGGTGAGTCCCAATGCCCATGTTCTAACCACTGTGCTACATCATCTCTCAAAAGCAGATGGTTGTAGATGGCAGCCATTTTCTTTTTGGCTTTTTTCCTGAAGGAGTATACTTATTCATTTTGAATCTACAATCTTTAAAAACCACCAATTTTTTTTTATCACTTCCTTACAAACCCCAAGGCTCAAACCTGGATCATAATCCAGTAACTCTATAGTCTCACCTGTTAAATAAACCACCATTCGAAATCCAAATGTTTATACGACTCAGCAATTTAAATTTGAGTCCCGTATTTGTGACTATTTTCAGCTTATCATCTTGATATTATTATTACTCAAAATTATTTTGGTTTTATTCTCTTCAAAGAAGATGCCCTATTTGACAGATAGTGCCTATTTCATCTTTTAACTTAGGCATCTGCTAATTCTTTGAAGGTTCAGGGCCTAAGCAGAAAGGTAAACGGCATTTTTTAAAATTTTACTTGGAAAAAAGAAAGAAAGAAAAACTTTACTTGGAAAAAGTGATTGTCAAAGAAAAAATGGGGGGGAGGGATAATTTATCTGGCTTATTCAAAAACAATTTCTCCACATGTTACCAAGTGTGGTTTTACTGTGTTACCACACCCTGCCCAAAGCTCCCTCATTACATCAGCACGTCAAGATTACACAGGCAGAGAGCCCTAGAGCAGACACCTGGGGCACAAAGAAAACATTTACTAGACTGGGAATTAAAAGTGATTTTGAAGTTACAATTTTTACCATGGTTAATTCAGGAGACTTGGCTATTCTGTGTCAAAAACATGTTATAAAGAAAAGTATATATCACACAGGAAACAATTACCATTCCCATTCAAATGTTAATTATATTTACTACCAGAGTTAAGTCAAGCAAAGCAAATCAATTACTGAACCTGACATTAATTCTTTACACATGCAGCACTAGACAACAGAGCATAATTTTAAAGTGAAATGCATGTACCTACACTGCCCTCTTATGGTCAGCTGAGACAAACACGTTTCCTATTTTTTTTTTTTTTTTAAGATTTTATATATTCATTTAAGAGAGAGCACGAGCAAGGAGCCCAATGCATGGCTCGATCCCAGGACCCTGGGATCATGACCTGAGCCGAAGGCAGACACTTAACCATCTCAGCCACCCAGGCATCCCCAACACATTTCCTATTTTAATAAGACTTTAAGGAGTCTGAAGTTGTTTCAAAGTCAGCATTTCTTTAACCTCGGAATTTTCACATAAGATACAAAAGTCTCTAAAACTGAATATATAACCCCAATATACTATGCATGTGGAAAAGTAATTTTAAAACAAAAATGAGTTATTACTAATTTTACAGTTATCTTAAATACTGAAGGTGAAGGAAGTTGTTTTCCTGGAGGTGGTTATAAAGGCAGATAAGAAGATCTTTATGCAAAATCAGAAGGGATAGTTTCGATAACTTGAAAGTAAGGTCCCTGCTTCTCTAAAATGTGTTAGCGTCTCTTTAAAACCCATAGTTTATATTTTCTTCCAAAGGGTGTCATCCCATGTCATTCATTAGCCAAAATGAGGGCTATTTGGGCCACAAATGGGACAAAATGAGGGAGAAAAATGCAGAGAAAAAAATTTCCCTATACTATCTAGAAAGAGCTGGATCAGAGATACAGTGTGAATTAAGGGTGGGAGGTGTGTGTGAGTGCATGTTAGTGCACATGTCCCTTAAAATTATGGCATGGAATTACCATAGAACAGAAAAGTAAAAGGCAGGCCAAAGGGGAGTATATAGTTCATGAGAAGAAAAACAAGACAGAGAAGAAAAAGAATCAAACAATTCCTTGCACTGGGGAACACACAGGAACACTTGGGTACCATCTCAGGGAGATAAGAAATGAGGACAGCATGTGTGGAGCTGTTTAGGGATACCTTATCAAGGCCTGGGACTATGAGAAGGTCCCAGCTACACAGTCATTACCATGGCTTGAGTTTGAGTCTCTTGAGTGCCCCCTAGAAAATCTTGGGAATTTAATTTTTTTTCTTTATACTTTAGTTCCCTAAAAGCTAAGCATTTTACAGAGGTAAGCTAAAAATAGGTATAGGTAGAAATACCTATAGATTCAAAGAATGTTGAAAGGGACCTCAGATAATGGCTAGTCTAAATCTTTTAAAGGTGAAGAAAGTATGTCACAGAGTGACTTGCCAAAGTTTCTCAGAGTTGTAGGGACAGCTAGTGGTAAAGGTAGTCTGTCTACAAAGGCACACATTACACTACTGATACAGTTGTGGGAATGGGCTTCCTACCCCCAAATGCTATCAGTTAGTTGGATTTTATAGGTAGGATATGAGCCCTTTGATTTTCTAAGTTAACCAAATAAAATGTATTCTGTATGAAGTATTTTTTCCAACAACTGGAAAGTGATTGTCTTTAAAATGGCTTTGTCCGGAGCACCTGGGTGGCTCAGCCGGTTAAGCATCTGCCTCCGGCTCAGGTCATGATCCCAAAGTCCTGGGATCGAGCCCTGCATCGGGCTCCCTGCTCGGTGGGGGGAGCCTGCTTCTCCCCCTGCTTGTACTCTCTCTCTCTCTCTCTGTCAAATAAATAAATAAAATCTTAAAAAAAAAAAAAAAGATAGCTTTAGGGCGCCTGGGTGGCTCAGTTGGTTGAGCGACTGCCTTCGGCTCAGGTCATGATCCTGGGGTCCTGGGATCGAGTCCCACATCGGGCTCCCTGCTCAGCGGGGAGTCTGCTTCTCCCTCTGACCCTCCCCCCTCTCATGTGTTCTCTCTCTCTCATTCTCGCTCTCTCAAATGAATAATAAAATCTTTAAAAAAATAAAAAATAAAAAAAAAGCTTTGTCCAATTTATTGCACTACCACATCAACATCAGAGTGACGTCTCATCCATAACGGCACCACTCTGATTTTCACCAAGCAACATCCAAAACTATTTCATCATTCACTCCATCATTTCGATGCATTTAGATTTTAGAGAGTTGATGGATTCCACTACTGCAGACAAACCTGAACAGCAAGACGTCCTCCACCACACCTCCCAAGCATGGTAAGAGATAGCAGAAAAAGGGCTGGACCTGAGTCAGAGGCTCTGGTTTATATCTGGCTCCACCTCTCCAAAAGGAGACGCCAGAAATCACTTAAACTCTCATCTTATTCATCCCCTGTATTCTGAGTCTGGTCTAGCATCAGACACAGAGCAGATGTCAAAATGATGACTGAATGAGTCTCTGGAACTTGGTTTCATTATCTACAAAACGGATAAATTATTAGTTATTTTGAAGAGCTATTGTGAAAGTCCAATACTATAGTAGTAGTAGTAGTATTAATCATTTTTAATATAAAGGGCAACACTGGAATGCTGGAAATATTCTCTATGTTCTAAACATTCTATATCTTCATGTGGGTGGTAGTTACACTTTATTCATTTTCTATTGCTGTGTGACAAACCACCACAAACTTAAGTGGCTTAAAAACAAGGGACATTTATTATCACAGAGCTCTGTCTGTCAAGAGTCCAGGGCATGGCATAGCGGGATTCTCAGAGTCTCACAGGTTGAAATCAGGTTGTCAGCAGGGTTGTGTTCCTTTCCAAAGACAAGAGAAGTCTGCTTCCAGGCTC